TGAGACTGGTACCGGTCCACGTCCCGTAATGGGTCTTTAATAAAAAAAAAAATAGAAATAAAATAAAATAATAACTAAAAATTTAAGAAAAATTATAAAAAAACAGAATAGGGGAGGAGGGTCGTTAGTACTTGGTCCTGCCTCGCGGGCCCGCTGCCGGGCTCCCCGACAAAACCAAGGGGGATAGTCCCGCAGGACCCTCAACCCCTCGGTTCTCCTGCGCTCCTTCGCTCCTCCGCTGCCGGCTGCTGGCCTTGATCCCGAGTCTTTGTAATATCAGTCAGAGGTCGTAACCTATAGGGCCAAGCCCAAGCCTGGGGGTAGCAGGCGCAGTCTCGCTTATAAAAACGCCCGGTTCAGGCCCAGGCTTGTCAGACTGTACTTTAAGTCGGGATTTGGCACATCGATCGCGTCCCTGGTGCCTACCTACCGGCCCTTGCTGTACTAAGGGGTAAGTTTTCCTGTTTTGTTGTCGCCTCGCATGTAGCACAAGTGTGTTGTCACCTAGCAACCCCGATTTCCCCCACTAGGTTTCCTATCCTTGAAAAACAGCCCTCTTACCACCTAAGTGTCGGGAAACCCCGACCTTTATGGTGCCGCCCGCGGCCCCTACCACTTTCCAACATCATGGTAGGCCTAGGAAATCCCGCACCTTGCGCCTCACTGATCCTAGTGCGGCGGTCAGTAATCCAAGCGGATCCGAAACTTAAGTTCTCAACCTAGATTGCTCAAAAAGCCATTTTTTAAATACGAGTGCTTACCACGTGTGCTATTGTAGTTTCCTCACGGTCCTCTCCCAATTTACGCCACTAGGTGCGGACGCCGCTCTCACCAGACACCCGCCTGAAAACCCATGCGTGCCCTTGGAGTGCACGCCCACCCACCCTCTAGTATCAAAATGCGAGTGTCACTCCCAACCCCTGAGAATTGGCTGTGGCCTCACAAACATGGGACGCGCTCCAAGATATCGTAAAAAGCGTACTTCCCGTAAGTTGCAATAACGTGCCCAACAACGTCTCGCAAAAACTAAAATCGAACTCCATATGTAAATTGCGCCTAGTCCCTTTTTCCACGCTAGACCCATAACTTTTACTAATTGGATCAGACGAGTATCGCACGCGAGACTCTAAATAAATATCGCAGCAACACAGGTCTTAGTCATGTCGACTAACCATGCATGAATACGCAAGCGGTTGCAGTGATGGCGTACTATGTAGTACCCATAATTACGAGGTCCTCAAAGGTCGCGTTCGACACTGAAGTGTCGGCTGACATGCGCCGTGAGGGGTTAACCTCTCGACGCTAGACAACCGCCTAAGCGCTTGAGAACCACACCCTCTTCTGCGCCCCGTGGAGCGTGGGTGGTACACAGGTTCCGGCCTGTGGTGGTAGTCAGCTCTCGTGGCCTTGGAGGTGAGTTTCATCATCTAGGACCCGAAGAGAAATCAAGGGGTTTGACTTTGACGGTTGCCACAGACTCCAACGTCCAACTTCAATAATTTTAAGAAGCAAAAAAAAAAAAAGATGGATTTGACCTCTCTCTTGATCAGGGTTGTCAAGCCCCGGCCCCGGGGCCCCGGCGGGGGTCCTCATGGTCGTGCTCCCAAGTTGCGGTGGTTACTTTCGTCATACGGCTTCTCGAAGAGGTCGTCGCCATCAGCCTCGTAGTAATTTCTCATTCTGACCTGTCGAGTGAACCTGGTCGGGGTTGATGGCCAGGTGCAGCCACCCACTGGGCAGGAGGAGTAAGTGCAAGAGAGAGAGAGAGAGAGAGAGAGAGAGAGAGAGAGAGAGAGAGAGAG